AATATTTTGACATTTGGGGAAAATATTATATTATTTTCCATCTTTCTGAAAGTTACGTGAGAAGATCAATACCGCTTTCATGTCTGTATGCCAAACATGAAGCTTCGACCAGCAGCAGTTAGCTTTACATAAGCGTAAAGCCTGGAAACTGCTCGCCAGCTAGCTCAAGTCCAACGGAAAATCAATATGGAAACGGACACTTCACCGGTCAAAAAATAGTTCTGCACACAAACTCCAGAAAAACTTTAATTTTTACTCTTTAGTTTTTGTAAACAGTAAGATACAACAGGTGGGTGGGTTCAGCCAGAATGCAATTTTAGAGGTGGTGCAATAAAAAGCCAATTGAAAGACGCTATCAGACAGTCCCTCCAGGATTTCACTGGGTGTTTTTTTGGGAATGTTGCGGTCTAAAATTCTAATTAAATTGCAGGAGAAAGTGAAAAACTGTGTGTGTAAGCCAACAATCGCACTGTTTGGACAGGAGGAGTTTGGTGATGTATGGCTCAACGGGGGGAAACTACAGTGAGTGGTTAAATAAAGATCGGAAAAGTTGCTGTAAGTGGGTCACGCAGAATTTATTCATTATTGGTTGAATGCAATAATTGTTGTCATCGCAACTTCCTGAACACAATAAACACAAACGGTAAATTCTGTATGGGTGGGGGAAGTTTGCGTCACTGTGTTATGGCTGTAGCTACAGAAATGAGTGGTGTCAATCCTCTCATAGAATTCTCAGAAATATCTCACTAAAGAAAATGACTTATGAAAGGTTAAGTGGAGATTAGTCCAAGACTGAATCTGACTCTTCTGCAACTGGAAGACTGGTTTCCAGTTTACAAGCTTTGTTCTTCCTGAGACACCATTTGAATCCCTACCAGCCTCCAGGCCTGTTGTGAAATAGCACTTTACATTAGCACATTATTGTTAATATTGCATTATTAATGGAAGTGTGCAGCAGCAAACTATTTGTCTCGGTAAAACTGAGGATACAGCGGAAGTGGAGGATTGCTACATTCTTGTGGAGGCCCCACATTCCCCAGAGCACCACAGCAGGGTTGTTGTAGCTCGTACAGTTCCTCCTCTGCTCCCCCCGCCCTCCCGTGCCTCCTTGCACCCACGCCGCCCCCACTCCAGCCCCCAGCTTCCTGTGCAGCAGCATGGCCACTCAACCCTTCCCTGTTCTTAGCTCGGTCAAGCTCCAGCTCCCTCTACCCCGCCGCTCCAAATACATTATTTACACTCTCCTCCCCTCCCTTCAGCTCAGCTCAAAAGAATCAGGGCAGAGGGAAATAACACCACTGTATAACCTCCCCCTCTCCCCCATACACTGACACACACACACACACACACACACACAAGCTCAACCCTCCCTCCACCAGCACCACCCCACCTGCTCGCTCTTTTCTCACTCTGCGGGATGAAAATACAGCGCAGGGCTGGGCTGCGACAATGGGAAACTCTGTGAGGCCCCAGCCCTCCCATTAATCCCCTCTGACATGCCTCCCGAGGGCAGGGATTTGCTACAAGTCAATGCAGGAGACCTACAGTATGCAAAACAAGCCTGTCTGACTCTCTCATGATTTTCAAAGCCACTGCACTGCACTGTGAGACAGGAAGGCAGATCAGAGAGAGAGAGAGAGAGAGAGAGAGAGAGGGGGGGGGGGGGGAATAACTGTGCACACAGTCTGCTTAGTTAACCCTTTCCTCACCCTCCTGTTCAGTGTATATGTCACTTCCCTCTTCTAGTTCCACTACTAGCCTAGATTGCTCAGATAATGCTGATGACAGATGACAGGATGAGAATCGATGTGGAGCGATATAGAATTTTTCTCCCATATATCTCTGCTGCTGTTATCTCCTTTGTCTCCCTCCATGACGCATTCCGCTCCAAGACTAATTCAGACCGAAAAATGAAAGCCACCCGACGTAAACAGGAATTCACAGGTCATGTGATGCACTTACTTCTCTCAGGCAGAGTGGTGCTATTGAATTTCCGCCTTATCAGGGATCTAGTGATGAGGAGATAGGTGAAGGCTCAGGGGGGGCAGGGTGGTGGTGGTGGTGGGGAGGCAGGATGACATTAGAGAGAAGCAGTCAGGGTGGTTGGGGCGCCGGGGGGGCTGTCCACACCCTGCAGCTCACACACACACCGGGAATGTAAACAACAGGGCTGAATAGACAGGCTGGGACTACACATGGAGGAAGGGCAGCAGAAGAAGTTAAATTACCACAGGGAGAGCAGCAGAGAAATGGAAAAACAGATGACAGTAAGGCATTGCCACACAGAGGAAGAGAAATCCGCCAGGATTTGTAGCCTGCTTTAAATTCACGTGATTGGCCCCAATGCTGCCTCCCCTCCCGCTTCACTCCCCCCCTCTCTTTTTTTCCACCCATCCTCAGACCCTTTGAGATGGAAAAATGGGTCATCTGTGTGGAAGTTAATACTCTGAGCACGTACAGTGCTGCTTTATTTTAAGGACATGCCTTGGAAAATGTTTCTCCTTCTTCTCCCTCACTGAATGACACAGAGAAGGCGCTGGGTAATTAATATACTGTGTTGCTGCTGTGCACACAAGTGGCAGTGCAGCAGAGAGCAGCAGTCTTTATTATAGCTGCTGGCACAGCCTGGACATGTCTCATATTTCTCCCCTGCCTGCCCTCTCTCCATGACAACGTACAGTAGGCTGCAGACTCCGGCACCACAGCCATGACATCAGCATCAGGGCACAGACAGTGTGACTCTAAGCATCAGTGGGAAAACATGTTCCAAAACACAGACGCAGGAGGACTCCGGGCCTCTGTGGGCGCCTCCACCTAACAGTCAGTGATCAGCAAGCTACGGGCAGAAAATACCTCCCTCGGAGGCTACTGCTCAGTGGTAACGCTCGAATGTGGACCGGTGCAGCAGAGAGTGTGCAGAGCTACGTGAAGCTGCCATAGCAACCGCATACAACAGAGTTATTTCTGGCTACCTTAAACTCACAAACACAGCTGCTCCTACAGATACCCAATCTGTGTATGTATGGCCCTCAGTATGCAGAGCCGTAATCAAGCTTTGACATTCAAACTCCTAAACTGGAATAGCACAGGAAAGGTAATTACTGCTGTGGATAATTTGCTGACAGGATTTCCAGTAATGAGTTGTGGAGCTCAAGTGATTATAATATTCCCAATACAACGTTTGATATATGATTGGAATCCATGCAAACAAATCACAATGGCAGTCAGACTGCTTTGGTCCTAGCTGGTTAGAGCCTGTCTGTCTAATCCTGGGATTTTAAATGGTGCTTCAGTAACAGTTTATATTTCTGCACCTGTAATGAAAGAACACGGTGCATCTGTCAACGTGAGCTCATTAGAAGAAAGCATTACAAACTGTTAAAAAAAAAATTACCCCTCCCGAGCACATGGTCTCTGTGCTGCAGGCGCAGCCATTGTTATTGCTGTCAACTGGAACTGTTGTGCTCTCAAGCTCCCTCCATTCAGTTGTCCTTCATTGGAAACACCATAGAAGTGAGCAAACACTGCCCTGGAGCAACAGTTCCCCCTACTGCACAAGAAAAGGGAGTTTCTATATTTTCCCTTCTCTTTCCCCCGTCTGCTTCATCAGATATGAAGAGCTGACTCATAATCCAGTCATACAGACTCAAATAGAGCAGGAATGCAGTCAGAATAGTGACATTAAGTCAAAAGAAATAACACAAACGCCTCATTGATTACACTAATAATCAGGTCAGGGTTGAGGATGCAGTGCAGGCTCTGTTTTTAGATAAAAACATAAGATTTGCTGTGTCATCCTGGACCAGTGGCATGGCCTCGTGTCAAGGTCTGTTTCACTCGGTTTACTTTATGATGCTTTCAGAGCAGGCAGCACTGGTCTGGTATCCTTCAGTGACCCTTCAGCTCTCTCCAGGCTGCAGGAGGACGTGGCCAGCAGCTGCATGTTTATTTACAGGAGAAGCAGGCCAGTGGTACACTATGTGGACGGGGTCTGAACCTGTTCCTACCCCCAGCGCCAGTGGCAGACCACAGCTCCAGCGTGACCACCAACACAGTCTGTTATTTCTCTCCTCTGCCTCCCCAAAGGACAGATTAACAACGAGTCACTTCTTCTGCACACATATACACACACACACACACACACACACTCTCAGGGCCCAGCCAGACGACTCTGCAGGCCTCTTGACAGGCTTCTCCTTTTCCACCAAATGGCAAAATAGCAGGAGTGCTGATGAGAAGACTGCAGCGTGAGCACATGAGTTCATGGAAAATGGAACACTGTCTACCATTTAGTCTTCACTCGACATTTCTGGGCCGTCGTTCAATTTTCATTTTTCATTCCTAATGTAGAAAAACTATTTTCCCCCAGCTCTCGTTTCCTGGCAACCTCGAGGACCGAGGCTGCTCTGGCCAGAGCCCTTAGAAAAACAGCTGCAGACAGGGATAAAAATAATTACAGCTCTATTTGTCTTCCAAGAGACACACTTCCAACCCTTCCCCTACGAGCTGCTCCACTTTCGCTCTCCTGCACGCACACAATAAAGCCATTCACAATGAAGACGTCAATGTACTCACAACCTTGTACAGTATGTCTCGCCATGCTGGCTGGAAATAGAAATACTGTACTGTCAAGATGGCAATTCATCCTTGTTCTAGCAGCAGCTGTATTTTATTAACCAGCGTCAAAGATTTGTTAACACATCCAGGGTCGAGCTTTTGTTTTTTTAAATAAAACATACCTAGAAGGTGTGGATTCTAGTAATGTAGTCCCATTATATTTAATTACATTCCTTTCGTTCCTGAACAACTTTCCTTTTTTCTGTATTATATATTTTTAAATGGAGGAATATTTATCCTTGATTTATGCACATAATACTTTCCATTCATTAAAACGACCCTCTAGATTGACTGCAAACATCTCAAAACTGTAAAGGTTGGTATTTTCTCCTGTGCATTGCTACTGCCATCTACTGGCAAATGGAAACTCAGAAACTCAAAAATGTGTTTTCATGATTTATTTTAAGGATTTTACACACAAAAATACATCCAGATATGAGAAACTGGAATATAAAAATAACACGTAACCAAAAAAAATAATTCAGAAAACAATATTCTACAAACAAGTTCTGTTTAGTGTAGGCACTCGTACACACATTTCACATGTAAATCAACTGCACAGCAATATGTAACAAATCATTTACATACGCTTGGTTTTTTTTTCCATTTAGTGCATAACATATCAGCACCCCCCTCCACACACACACAATTACTTTTATGGGAAATAAATATAGTTACAGATAAAAAACACGGGATCCGGTGGAAGAGAAGGTTGGAATGTGATTTAACATTTCCCAGAAACGTAACCTTGAGGAAGCTCTTTAACCTCGGAGTGCCACGACAGAGGGGAGAGGGGGGAGTTATCGTCATCTCATGTCCAAAGGTTGAGCTCTGGCATAATCACACACACCAAAACAGTGCACAAACACCAGTGTCTGATTTCCATCACACACACACATTCATTCATTCGACGTCATCTTCTGTTAAAGACTGAGCGCTGATGATTCGCTGAAAAACAGAAGAAAATGTTTTTTAAAAAAGGACGTTTCGCCAAGAAGTGTATGGCGCCAATTATAGAACAGCTGAACTTTTATAAACCTTTACACAGGAAACAACCAGTTCTTTGTAACGTTTCTGTCTTAGAGGTGAAATAACCGAGAGCTACTGACACTAAACTCTCAGCTTTGGATGATTCTAAGGTTGATCTCGCACCCTTTCTTGTCCCAGAGACCACAAACGGCAACCAGGGGGTTTATTAAGGATGCTTGCACGATGACGCCGACCACACGGACATTTTAAAATGGGGGACGAAGGGGAAATTCCTCACCTGGCTGATGGTGGGCAGTTTTGTGAGCAGCATTTGGAAGACTGGAGGCGGCAGCGTCTGCTGGAGCACCTGGAGCAGCTGCTGAGGTTGACCGCATACCGCAATCGCATTGGTCAGGTGGTCCACACCTTTCTCAAACTCACCTGGGAAAAATGTGCAAGTTGGTTAAAGATTGTGAAAAGTGATCGGAAACAATTGATTGACCTATTGAAAACTTTGTACTAGTGCAGGGCGATATCCATACATATAAACACATCTCTCTCTCTGAACACTTAAAGCTCCAGTGTGTAACATTTAGGAGGATCTATTAACAGAAAACCAAACACTGGCTCTGAGTGGGGGCATTCACATTTTGTGTGTTCAGCTGCCACCGTAGCTTCTCTTTCACACTTTGGTGAAACTGAGGGTGAGGCGACGGAGCTGCAATCTGCAGCTACACCACTAGATGCCACTAAATACTACACACTGGTCCTTTGAAATACTTTTATACAACTATTTTAAAATATTTTGTTTTTTTAAAATGTTTGTGGGACCAAGAAAAGCCTTCAGTCGGTAACATGCTGGTATTAAAATGTTTATATTCTTTGCACTGCTGACACTAGAAACCTTTACACAGGAAATTAAACCAGTTCTTTGTACTGTTTCTGTCTTAGAGGTGAAATAACCGAGAGCTACTGACACTAAACTCTCAGCTTTGGATGATTCTAAGGTTGATCTTGCACCCTTTCTTGTCCCAGAGACCACAAACGGCAACCAGGGGGTTTATTAAGGATGCTGCAGACATTTTAAAAAGGGGGAAAGAAGGCCCAGTCGTGCTCTTACTGCCTGAAAGTAAATAAAACTGTGTACCATGCACTTACACATTTTATGTCTGAATAAAACAATGAACAGACATGTGACTAACCTTGCGCCAGGAGCTCCTCTCCCAGTTGAATTTCCTCCAGGAAGAATTTCTGCACAGCTTCCGCGTCCTTCAGATCAGGCAGCTTCAAAGTCAAAAGACCCAAAAACATAAAATGTCAGAAACGAAACACGTAGACCTCAAAACTACATTAAATCCTCACTCCACAGCCGCCCTACCTTTGCCAGTCCAGACTTATCGGAAGAAGCATTTTGTTTCCTCCTACCTGTGAGAGAGAGAGAGTGTGTTAGACGGTCTGCTGGTGAACACATGGTCGGAAGTTGAGCTGTTAGCTAACAGCGTGTCTTCTCCCTCGACCTCATCACGTTATTAGCTCAGAAACACTTACGTTCACGTAGTTTCTCCTTGAAGCGAGGGTCACTCCGCCGCTTCCTGTCGAAATAAATACAATACGCGACGAACACGGCTCCGCACACCCCGACAACCACCGCCGTCGTCCTGCCGCTGATCATATCTGAAACTATTCACTAGCTCCGGAGCTAGCACGCCACTAAGGGAGTGCGTAAAGCGTGACGTAAGACGTAACGTCGACGACGCACGCTTCGCTTCCGTAAATATTGGATCCACTTTAAAGCTGTTAAACATTTATTTTTGTTAGTTGTTGCAAAACTGTACATCTTTTTATTAATTTATTTAAATAGATAAATTATTATGTATATTTATTGTCTGTATTTAAGCTTTTACATGTTATTATATTAGTACACAGGCTGGGAGAGTAATGGATTACAGTTACAGACAAAAAGATGTAAACAGATTACAGTTAGATTTAGTAAAAATGGGGATTATAAACAGGATTAAAATGTTGTAAAATAAAGAGAAACCGAACTAAAACTAATCTTACAGTTAACAATGAATTATCATGACCTCTAGTGAAAAGAAATGTTTTTTATTTTATCACAATATTGTCTTTAAAGCAGAAAGGGGAACAACAAGATGAACAGCTGCAGCTAGTGGAGTTGCTAACAAATGAAAACTTGCTAAATAAAAAAAGGAAAAACGTGTTTATCATTAAACAAATTCAGGCAGTAGCCCATAGACTGTAGTGATGTTCCTCTTTCAGCTTTAAAAACTAAATTATGGTAAAAGTTCCACCCAGTGAGAGCATTTATTTCACTTTATTTCACAATGACCTGTAACAACTGTAAAATGTCTTTTTGTTCAGACCAGAGCGGTGAAACTCGAGAAGTGTTAGTATATTGTTGTTTATTTATTTATTTTAAAATTGTAATCCTGCAAATAGTCCCCATTTGTATTAAATGTAACTTTACAGTTACCTTATTAATCAATGAGTCCTCAGGCTTGTGTATTAATATAGTAACAATTACATTATTTACCAGTAAATATGACCAAATACGTCCCCACTCATACAATAAAATAACTGCATCATTAGCTAAAAGCTGAAACGTTTTATCCTCTGTCGCTGCTCATCAGTAGACGTTGAATGTGCCTGTGTAATACTTTGTTTGGTGATGTAGAAATAAGCCTAAAACAACCCAGAATAACCTGCAGTGGTCATGTACGTCCAGAGAGGAGAGAAACAGGATTAAAGGAGCTCCAGTTCAGTGTTACTTCAGGGTCCCTAAGATGGTGTGAAATGCACTTATAAAGTAGTTATTAATGCACAATGCTTTAATGTGTAAGCAGCATTTAAGTGCCATAACATAAGATGGACATCATTTTAATTACTTTAAGTTGTATAGTTCACTTGGTATATACTGTTGGGTAGTTCAATGAATCGTATTTGAAAAGTTTATAAATTTTATATGTAGAAATCTGCAAAATAACTTCTTAATTTAACTTTCTTGTACATACATTTGTCAAATAAATAATAAATAAAAAGGTAAATTGCTTTCCTGTAGTATAAAGTATAATAAAAAAGAAATACTTTGTACTTAAGTAAAATTTACTTTCTACCAATGATGGCAAGAGACACACTGAATACTTCACAAACTATGGCATTTATTTCAAACAGAGGCTTCTGCTTTGCTTACATTTTTACAATAAATTACACAATGACCATCATCAGATGAGCCTAATAAATACTATTTAGCATTTTTTTCAATAAGCTCCATTACTTTCTCTTAATCTATGATCCATTTGTCCATATACAGGTTCATACAGCTTCAGCTTCAGGCCATGTACAGGTCGGAAAATAGTTCAGCCGCACCCAAAACCACCATTCTTCTCTTACAAGCACAAGCTATAGAAAAACAAAACAGAATACAAATTAAAGCAAAAAATGAAATAAAAATTTAAAAAAAACAACAACAAAAAAAAAAAAAAAATGGAAGAAAGGAAAAATAAAAAGAACTATAGAAACTGATGAAAGAGGCCGAACAAAACAACATAAATGAACTCAAAATAAATCTGTTCCTACACAAGAATGAGGACGAAAGGGGCAGAACAAACATGCTGTAACCCTCAGTATTTACACTCGAACTACAGTTAAAACCGTAAAACTGTCTGTACAGAAAAGTACATGTTATTAACAGTGCAAGATATTAAATAGCTTGACTCAAAACACTTCTCAATATACAAATGTATAACAAAAGCATACAATTACATACAAGTGCCAAACAAAATGTAACTTCAGGTTATCATACAGTAAGGGGGTCTGTACAAAGGAAACACTGGAGATGTCTTCAGAAATGTATACACATACGTCACTTTATGATATAAATGCACATTTACAATATCTTTACCTTTAATCTGGTCATAGTACAGGAAACAGAACCAAACATTTTTTGGTAGGGATGAGTATGAGAGGAAGCTGGCATGTCATTATTGATCATGAGTAAAAAAAAAAAATAGAAAGAAATGCCAAAAAAAAAAAATATGCGTTGCTTTATGTAATGAAGCAAAAAATATATTTAATTAAATAACTTCATGTTGTTTTGAAACACTGCAAATGTGGGATTCAGCTTAATTTATGTGTTCTGTAGTACTGAGTACATGCTGCAAATACAGACAGTATATATGGCTGCCTTCAAGTTAACTTGATCCAGTTGCGCAGATGTGCGTCATCAAATCTTCAGTGAAGATTTGGGTCTGGGGGCAGTAAATGGGTGATGAAAACATAATAAAATAAAGCAGATGGGCTTTTAAAAGGCTGATGAACTGAAGTAATGCGACCACTGGATTCAACTCCTCCATCATTGCACATTTTTATATACCGCCACACTCAACAGTTATACCCAAGCTGGATGAGTATTCAGTAGTAGATTACAGGTGATCCAGTATAAGAGTTCTGCTTTTACAATTATACTTCTTAAATATTACCACACACTGATAAAAACCATTATTATCTGTCAGCCCTTCACCGCCTTGCTCACTCATACAGCATTCTTCAGTCTTTTGTAAGGGACACATTATTCCAGCTGACCCTCTGATTTGAGAGGATCAGGAAAAAAAGTGCTGTCCTTCCTCAAAAGTGCCCCAAGGAAAAGAACAAAAAAGGCACTACAGTATCATTCCATATTCATCCACTGAGGTTGTCAGCGGACCTACCATGGTCTGAAACCCTATCCATCAACACCTATATGACTCAATACAAACATGTACAGGACCACATGTCTGTACTGACGAGAGCAATCGTCAACCACTTGAGGTTTAACCACATGAAGGCCTTTTTTTTAATGAGGGTGGACAGAGAAACGTGGCAAAGTTACATTTCCTACGCCCTTTAATGCCAATGTGGCAGTGTTCCTCTGAATTCCCCACAATAAGCATGGCGAGCACAGGCTGTACCATGTTGAGCTATGAGGACAGAGCACAAGGGGGGGGGTCTTCAAAGGAAATCATCTCTTACCAGTACGACTTTATCAAATGGAAACAATTATTGCTTGCAAAAACAACTCTTAAAAATGTTCAATTAAGGAGTGCGCAAAAGACAATTTTATATATTTTGTTTTGACAAATTTCATCCCCCCCCCCTACGCAATCTTCATAAAAGTGCACTTAAGTGCCGTTAGCTTGCCAAGGAAACAGTTGTCAATAGAAAATAGTGCTTGTTTCTTTTTTGTCTCTGGTCTGGTTTTTGTGCCCCAGTAGTTACAGTATGTAGGTTGACTCGTCCGTCCTATTGGAAGGGAATGGGGGGCGGTGACCCCAGGGTGCTGGTTAAGTGCTTAGTGCGGTGGCTTTGTCGCTGGTTCGTCCTGTCACCTGCACTCCACTGATACCCCAGAGTTCTGAGAAGAGGAGGATGAGGATGACACCGGCGGGTCGGCCAGTGTCAGCATGACTGCCGCAGTCAGTGAGCTTGAGGACGGTGAGGAGGAGGAGGAGGAGGATGAAGAGGAAGCAGCAACGGTGCCTTTAGAAGAGAAACAGGAGGAGGTTATGATCAGCAGGTAGGCGGAGACAACATACAGTAGACTCCTGGAGTGGGACCAAGTTCAATCTTAAGGAAGTGGAGATTTACACATCACTAAAATAAAATGCGTTGCTCCACACAAACTAGTTCTTCTTGATAGAATCAATCTATCCATCTAGAGAACGTAGTGAATAGTTGCTAGTAAATATTTACACCCAGTAACTATCAGGTGCCTCTGTTACACAAATACAACAAAGTAATACCTGAAATTACAAACAGTAAGCATTTCATCTAATATAAACTCTTTCCTTTTCTAAAACTTCACTTTCACTCTATTGTGACTTACTGTTTACATAGTTAATTGCTTTTGATTGGACAGCGCTACGGATATTTACTTTCCTAACTATTCACACGTTATTAAGTTATTTATTATCTTTTAATGGTGCAAACAGATTTAGTTTGTAGGATTTAGGACACCGCTCACGTCTGTATTTGATAACCTGGGAATGAGAACGGGCTGTGAAGTGTTAAGGAGAAACTACGTTGACCATGAAACTTATGAAAAACATGAAAGACCCTTTGTATTGCTATTAATTGCGCACCCCTACTTTACACACAAACTTGACAATGGATTTAAGAATAGCTGGTGAAATCCAATCGTGGTCATCAGTGACTCACTTTCACGTTCCTTCTTCTTCATGCGTTTTCGTCGTCTGTCAATAGAGGCCACCTCAGACTTGAGGGAGAGGTAGTGGTTCCTGATGTCCTGAAGCTTCTCCTGAAGAAACGAAATCCTCTCCAGACTGTTCATCTTTTCCAGGTCAGCTAAGTGGAACGCAAATAATGCATTTTAGGATTTTAGGGTAAATAAGGAACAGACACAGGTGTATACTGTTGTCATCAATGTATATAAAACTAAACTAAATAAAATGAATAGTTGCTAAGTTACCCTGAGGAATAACAGATTAGTTACAACAAATGTGTGACACTTACACATCTGGAAGCTCCACTTGTACACACGTGGCGATCTTCCGTGGTTGTCTCGGTGCTGGGTGTGGTCGGCGTCACCCTGTTTGTGGTACTTATGGCTCGAAGGGGGAGATCTCCCGTGACACTTGGGCAAAGTGGCAGCCTTCACGTCTGATGCGCTGTTCTTAGAGGCAGTTGATTTGGCAGTGCCATCAACAACAGACTGGTCCTCACTGTCACTGCTGTTGGCTGGAGGAGAAAAAAAAACGACAACAATGAAGCAAAAACCATTTTATTTTTCCCACCTGAAATCTGTAATTTAACATCAGGAAACAGGTAAATATGAAACAGAAATTCTACGGCTGATTAAAGTATTGGCTAGTAGGATGTCAGCAATTCTATCTACAGCTCGTCTTACCTGTTTTCCTATTCTTTTTGGGAGGCACACCTAGGCTCTTGCGGTTTGGCTTGTGTTTCTTTGAGGCTCCACCTGACTGTGATTCTTTCTGCCGCTTCTGACTTGCAGACGCTACAAAGAAAACGCAAGAAGATGGTGAGGGAACAGGCAGACTGTGAAATGAGTTGTCAGCGTGTCTTTAGTATCCATCTTAAAAAAATATATTTTAAAAACATTCACAAGACCTGGTGTAGTAGATTGGATGTTATTTGTACCTTTGGACTTCTGCTCACTCTCCTGTTGGCTGCTGCTGCTCAGCTCTAGGCTGCAGCTGCTGCTGCTGTTGCAGGAGAGGCTGACGTCAAACACCTTTGAGGGGGAACCTGCCCCCTCATCCTGAGGGAGGTCTTGCAGCTCCCCACCCAGACTCTCTACTTCCACCGTGCTGCTGTCCGTCTCACTGCGCCCGCCTGCCACTTCCTCCTGTATGGGTCCTGGGGGAAGAGTGTCAGAAACCGGCTCTGAAGGCAAGGCAGGGGGTATGGACGGTGGCGGGGAGGAAGGCTGCGCCTGACCAGAGTCCTCCACAGCACTGCCTCCTCCTGAGGGGGACTCAGGCGTTGTTGGTGGTGTGTTGAGTACAGAGTTACTGCCGCTGCTTGGAAACTCCTGTAGTTTGTCGTTCTCCATCTGCTCCTCTGAGGCTTCGTCCTCGGGCCCAGCATCCTGTTCGGCACTCGGCTCCTCCAGACATGAAGGTACAGGTGGAGGAGGAGAATTGGCGGCCTCTGTGTCCGAGTCAGAGAACAGCTCTTTGAGAGTCTTCTTCGGCCACTGGGCCTGGATGCTGGACCACACATCCTTTTGGCCTTTAGAGCGGACAGCTGGCCTCTCCTCTGCATTCCCGGACATTTTGGCTCTCTTTTCAGGAATCTCCCAGAACCCAGCTTGTCTGCCACCTTTGGTCTTCTCCTTCATCCCGTTGTACTTCTTGGAAGGGGAACCTTTGGTTTTTGGCCGGCTTCGCTCACTTTCCTCCGCCTGGGTCTCGGGCAGTGCTGCACCTTCGTCATCTGAACTGCTGCTAGACGAGGCCCCCCTCTCCTCCCCAGGACCAGCCGCTCTCTCCTCCAGCTTTCTGGGAGAGCCTCCAGGCAACCAGTCCGCACTCCTGGTGTTTCTGGTCTTCGCTTTGGATTGGCCTTTCGGGGTCCTCTCTGCTGCGCCCTCAGATTTCCTCTTCCGGGTGCTCGCTTCTCCCTCTAACTCTGGTTGGCTTCTGCGCTTCCCGACATCGGCACTCTCTGCGCTGACTAAATCCTGGGTTTTTCCTGAGACGGGAGAAGGTTTGGATCCTTCAGGAGAGGTCCCGCTCTCCCAGCGCTCGGATGTTTGCGGGGGCTCTGGTGGGGCCTTTCTGGGGCTGCCTCTGCAACCTGGTCGATCCTCTTCATTATGCTCTCCCTCCTCATCCTCATGCTCACTTTCGTCTGTGGACATCTCAGAGGCTGAGGCAAACGGGAGAGAAGTTCTGTTAGTTTCAGCAGGATATCAACAGGCATAAATACACCACTTCAGAGTCAAACAGTCCTGATCTGCTGTAAGTGTGCATGAAGGCTACAGGCTAATGAGTGTTGCTACCTTGCAGGCCATTGAGGATAGAAGTAATTTCTATAGACTTGACTGGAGACTGCTGAGTCCCTTTGTCCTCACCCTCGTCCATCTTGGGAAAGACATCCAGGCCACACTTGGAGCGTGGGACTCGGTTAGTGTTGGATGAAGGGCCGAGGACTTCTCTGTCATTGAGCCTCTCCAATCTGTCTCGCTCCCTCTCCGCTTTGTTCTGTCAGAATTCAACACAGTCAGTCAGTCAGTCATTCACTTCATGACATCAAACCAGCTTGAAGTTGAAAAGTTACCACTCTCCAAACTCGTACCTTTATTTTTTTGCGGTGCTTTATTTTTGGTACGTTCTTATTGGCGGGGCGCACAATCTTGTCTGCTTTGATCCATTCATCATATCTAAAAATCAAGTACAAAGACAAGAGACAATTTCATCATTCAGATTTTTGAAAGGAGCTGAGAAATATCCTCTCACACCACCCACCACACAGACACCTCTACTGTCTGACCCCAACATGTTGCTGTGACAAAATAAGCCTCAACAGCAAAGGAAGAAATCCCATGGTATTATGTGGAAAAAGACAAACCTTTACGATGAAGAAAGAAACAATATTAACACCGACCACCACACAAATCATATTCAACAAAGTTCCAACAGTACCAAGGGTGCTACTTGGGTCGTATGAGGAAAATGAAAAGTTTCACGACATCGCACACGACAGACACAATGCAGAGAACACCCCACTGTCTTTAATAGAGTGCTAGAGGACCACACAACAACATTGAGACAATGAAATGCTGATTGCACTAGTTAACCTCTGTGTCATGGTACCCTAACACTCTACTTAACACTGCATTAACCCTGACCCACTGGGGAGGGGGGAGAGGGTTGAGAGGTAGAGGTGAGTGTAGCAGCATCTTGGTTGGCCTTTCAGAGATCCAAAGTGTAGCTCATGTTTAAAATATCATATTGTAGGATTTAAAGAATTGTTTAACCAAAACCACTGATTGGGTTAAAATTGGTTCAAATTCAGCCTGTCTGTAGATTTTGTTGAGAGACAGACAGCTGGGGGACAGACAGACAGGGGATTCAGACAGAACTGAGTGAGGGGAGCTGAGGATTGATCCACAGCGACCCAAAACTCAATTCTTTTTCTGCCACTAGATGGCCCAGTGTTCTCCATAATCAGAGTGCTGACCATGGGACTGGATCAGGTGAAGCAGAATTGTGAGGAAGGGATGTATCTGTTACTGCTGCGGGGATACCCATGTAGTGGTGATCCCTTGAGCTGAATTGAAAGTTAAGAGATGTCTTTTTTTTTCTTTTTTTTTTTTTTTTTAGGGTGAATATAGACGTTAGGTGATTTCTCCCCAGGTCCTGTCTTACCTGACGTTCCAGCCACAGTAGTGCACCAGGTAGAGCACCTCTCCCCCCTCCACGTCTGCCTCTTTCACAGTGGCCTCGTACGTCTTCAGATTGCGGCCTCGCCCATACCTCACCTGCACCTTCATCCCCGGGGGGTAACACTCAAACTCCTCCCCTTCCTCCCCCTCCTGACTGCTGTCATCCCTGCAAGAAAAACAGTTCAGCACTTCCTGGCCCTAGGCTGCCCCATTGAACACCACAGAACCCCACCCACACCCGCCCACCCAACCAACTCACTGCCTGCTGCTAGGAAGCCTGTTTTCTAATTAATTTGCTCCACCCTTGCCTTCCATGTCCCATTACAACACTACGCCCTTACCTATAAAGAATCATAAACTTCCCATTTTTGCCCTGCCTTAACTCTAGTCCAGTGTAACCTACAGCAAACTGCAGTATTAACAACTGAATCATTTACAGTAAGCCAGTCAAAGAACAGTACATGGAGTGTTTCAGTAAATAAAACATCATTCTTTCATGGCAAAAATCAATCATCTTGCATGGGAAATAACACTACTGTTAGGCTATCTAACCCTATATCCACACACAACAACATACTTGGGATTCTCATTCACACACAGGCTGTAAGAAACAAAGCAGCCACAAGGAGGAGCTAGTGGGAAACAGTCAGGAGATGTCGAAGCTGGAGGGTATACGGGTGGTGCAGGAATGCCAGTAAGTGGTTTAGGCGCAGGGGCCACAGGGGCCACAGGGGCAGGTTAGCACGGCAAAGCACAACTTGGCAGGCAGCACAGCAACTTAAAGCGAGACTACAGCGTTGGGAGGAAGCACGACTACCACATCCAATTTGGTCTGCTGCCACGAAGTGCAGCTACAACACAGTACTCCACACAATCCCTCTCATGCCTAGCTGCTCCGAGCATGTGCCTCATGATGACAGCTAATTCTCAGCAAACCATAATGGAGAAGATGCACTTCCTCGTGCCGTGGTGTGACAACTGTTACCACCCTAAGATTGGGGACACACTAGACTTCAAGTGCCAAATGATCTTAAAAAACAGATTGCACACAATCAATCTCATAGACCTTTTCCACCCCTCTGTGATAAATACAGTCACGAAACACAAACATGCACAGATAGGGTAACACTGAGAAACACCGACACATTTAGAGCTGCAACAATTAGTCTAATCAGTGAGTCAAGTGACAGAAAATCATTTTTAAGCAAGTTTAAATATTCTTTCAAGACACATTTGTTTATAGCTTCTCAAATGTGAAAATTTACAAATTTTAACTATTACATTAAAGCAAATGGAATATTTGGGGGGTTTGGGCTGTTATTTGGACCAAAAGAGGCATCTGATGGACATTTTAAAGACCAATTGGTTAATTGATTAATCAAAAAAATAGCTGGTAAGAGAAAAACAAAAATCATTAGTTGCAGCCCTAAAGAAATTATGCAAAAGCATCACTTATGTCTGGACTTCTAATTTCCTCAAAATCTACACAATTCAGCTTCAGTCAAAGTGTATTATTATTATTATTATTATTATTATTATTATTATTATTAGGCACTGAAAAAGTCATTCCAAGTTGGCTGCACATTTACAATGGAGTAGTTGAGTAGGCGTCATTAGGAAATAAAGTTAAAAAGGTAAACAGTACTTAAGCAGTTACTTAACAATCACAGTAAAACAGGAGTTGCCCTCTATAGAAGTTATTGCTCTCATTTATATAAATTAAAACACTATTTTGCCCATTTAAGCTCAATGTAAACTAGCTCTTATTAGCTACACGCAGTCTCTGCTGCTGGAATGAAAATGTGATCCACACACACACGCACACACACACCACAGGTCCCATCCAGATTACGGGTTGTAAACACCAAACAGGTTTTGATATCATCAGGAAAGCTCAGATCAGATCAAGCCTGCGGGTTGTCTGCTGTGTGAATGTGTAAACCCTCACACTACCACATAATCTGCTGCGAGGACCACTGATCCTGACAAAGCCAAAGGATCAGAGAACCTCCAGATTGACACAAAGTCCATGTATGATGGTAATCAGCATGATCATACTGTAGTGTGCCAAAGGCCACGGGTGATAAAAACTACAGAGAGAGGGATACTGGGAGCAACAATTAATGATCAGAACATCCTAAAGTTGGGCAATTTTGCAATCCCAGAAAAACTGCAGTACACAAAGCATGAAGACTGTTTTTGTTTTCTAGCCTGTCCCCAGTCACCCAAACAACCTCGTGTGTCAACTGGAACAAACACAGGTCTAAACTAGACAGAGAGCACTGATGTAAATGCTCTAGGCAGGAAACAACAGGGGAAAGGCATCTAGCTGAAGCCAAACCACACAACTACCCAGAACATGCTTTTTTCAACACTGGAAGTTACTTTTTCCTCTTAAAGGGTTTCTGCATCGAAAGCACTGTCTTGCATCTAGTGTGCTAATGCATCAGTGACAACACTCACACACATGGAACATTTAATAAAGCTGAACATCGAAAAGCCAAAAAAATGAGAGAGAGGGAGAGAGAGAGAGAGAGAGAGAGAGAGAGAGAGAGAGAGAGAGAGATAAGAGATCAGGAAAGGGCAGAAATCAAGATGAGCACAGCCATGTTGTGTGCACTGAGTGAGTGAGGCTGGCCACGGTCAAACAATCCCAGCCAGAGTGAAAGAGAGAGACAGACAGAGAGAGACAAACAGAGAGCGAGAGAGAGAGAGAGAGAGAGAGAGACTGACAGAGAGAGAGAGAGAGAGAGAGAGAGACAGAGACAGAGAGCACAGCATGACATGCCAGGTGAAAGGTAGCAGTCAGGCTTGGTGCTCTAAGATGTCTCTGCCAGCTGATGCCGACTAAGCCACGAGAAATAATAATAGCACAGAGGGCAGTGGGTAAGAGCTTAGTTAGAAGAGAGAAAGAGGAGAGCTTTCCTCTCTCTGGTTAGCAGGATTGAGGTGGATTGTGGGTATACTGGGAATTAGTGTCATTAAGGTCAGAAGGGTCCTCATCTGCTATTGGTCTTTTAGGTTTTTACTGCCACCAAGGAAAGTGAATGCCTCAGGTCCTTTTGTCTGGAGAAACTTTTAAAGTTTGTATGTTTTGAAAGTCAGATTGGATATCACTAACACAGTTTCACCATGCAGGAGCCCTGCATGGAGCCTTTGTTTGTGCCATGAGGATTTTTGTTTACCGCCCTGGTGGAGGGACCATCCTTTCAGACCACCTACCCAGAGTTGTCCTTGCTCTCCTGCTCCTCGTCGCACTCCTGCTTCACGTCCTCCGAGCCGAGGCGAGCCGTTGACGAGCCCTCATCTGCGTCTCCCTTGAGGGGTCCATCGTCTTCATCGTCGTCGTCATTTCCGCTGTCTTTTCCCTCAGTTTTTGATGGTTCGGGCTCCATTTTGTTTCTGGTCAAATCAGGTTTCTCGTCCTGTAAGAGAAGGATGCTTTTATTATAACAAACACAGGAGAATTTAATGGATGTATACCTAACATAATAAAAAAAGGACAAAGACTTTAATCAAACAGCATCTAGGAGAATTCACCTTGCAGGCTACAGGCTGCACATTACAAGGTTCTGCATCCATTTGGACTTTCTGCTCTTCAGAGGTGGAGGATGTGGCAGTTGTTCCTCCAGCCTCCCCCTCAGACTTCACCTCCCCCTTGGGAGCCTGCTTCAAAGGGAGGTCCATTCTAAAGGTGATGGCGGTGGAGGTGCAGTATTCCTCAAATCCATACAAGTACCTGGATGATAAAACATTGCTCGTAAAACATATCCAGAAAAACCCAAATTCTAATTTTACAACGCCTCTCAAAGATTTACACATTTTATCACAACAGGCACTGCTAAAAGCTAGTCTTGCAAAGATAGAAGCTTAATTTATTCTTGACATCCAGATGGACATAAAAAAAAAAGTAAGTACACACTGCACTGTCAGTCTCAGTGAAAAACTATACAAACAAAAGCTGCATCTGCTCAGTTAAAAGCTTTGAGGAGCTGTGTACGTACTTGCGGTAAGCACATTTGACGTTGTAGCCAGCGGCTGAGTTGAGCACTGGGATTCCCAGATCCTGATAGACTTGTTTCCAAATGGAGCCGCTTTCAATCTGCTCAGACATGGACACAGAGGAAGACACATTCAGACTCAGTCGGCATCAAACGAGACAAGTGTGACCAAAGTCAAACTACACTGAGAGGAGTTGCTGTTAAAGCGGCACTCACGTTGTCAAAGCCTCCCAGTTTGTGCACCAGCCTGTAGAGCTTGAACAAGTTCAGGTTCCTGTAGCCCAGAACAGGTCGTTTGTTGATGGGAGTTCCTGAAGAGGAGAAACGCAGTTACGTTAATCTGCTGAAAACGGCTTGTGCAGCATGAGACTGCCTGGATTTAATGGTAGGAAATTAAAGAAAAGTTCATGTTATTAGTATAATGTATCAAAAGTAAACATATCCACAATGCAGTGGTCTCTGTGGGTGTTATACTTTTATACATTATTGGATTTTTAATACTGATGCATTAATTTGTAAGTAGCATTTTACTGTTGGTAGAGGTGGAGCTAATCTGATACATGTTTCATACTTTTCTACCTTTGTTTAATCCACTTTTTTTTATGCTGATTATACATTTCTCTGTAAAATCTTCATCTGAAAAGTATCAAGAACTAAAACTGTCAAATAAATGTAGTGGAGTTATATTGCCCTCTTAAATGTAGTGGAGTAGACAAACAAAAGTAAAGTAAATGTATCAAATTTGTACTCAAGTACAGTATTTAGTTACATGTTGTCAGAACATTTTAATTACCAAAGAATGTGAAAAAGCAGCCACTCATATAGAAATATTTTTTGTTGTAAAAGGACAAAAGTGATGAAAATACACATGAACCTTTAAAAAAAGCTAAGCCCTAGTGACTGCATTTAAAAAGAAAAGTGTGTTTTGAAGAAACCCAGTAAACATAATTTTTATTTGCACTCTGGGCTCACCTCTGTCCTCCATGAACTTGTACAGCTGCTGCAGAAAATTCTCCCGCTCCTCTGGGAACGGCTCCACTTCCTCCTGCGGACAGGAAACAAAGACAGTTTGAGGATCTTTTTATTTTTTTTAAACTTCGAGGTTGTGGAGATAAGAGCCTGTGCAGGGTTTTGCCTTTACCTCCTCCTCCTCGCCGCTGGCATCTTCTTCCTGCTCTTCCTCTTCATCCTCATCGTCGTCCTCGCTGCTAGAGCTTTCTTCTTTCACCTCTGTCTTCCAGGTGCTGGGCACAACGTACTGCTGCTGGAACTCCAAGGCCGCGTCCAGTGCTGTCAAACACACACAGAGTGAGTAATATCGCACATTAACCACGTCCAATAAGGGCTGCCTATCATTCCCTGCAGCTGTAATCTAGCAAACAGAGCTTGCAAAACTCGAGCTAAATCACTTTGTAGAGATAGAACAAATTTCATGCTAAATAAACAGAGATAAGACATAAACAGATCTTTGTTCTTTACACCATGTACATGAAAAATCAATAGAAAAGCTAGGCCAATGTTCTAAATGTAAGACTTTCCTTCTTTGATTTAAACCTCATAACATCGGTCTCTGGGTGTTTGTAGGGTACGAGGATGCTGGGTGTGTCTGTATATGTGTATGTGTAAGGCCAGCATTGAAGCAATCCAAACTGAATGAAACCAGAGCACCTTCAAGCAAAATGCTATAACTGACAATCAATATTGACAAAAACTGTTTATACAACTGTTATTGCTATGTTAACGCTGAGAATAATAGACCCATATACAGAAATAGGACAGCATAAAAAGACATTTTGACATAAACATGAAGAGAGGCAGCCATGGAAGAAAACAGCATGAAAATCTGTCAGGAGTATTTGCAGTGACGCAGAGCAGCAGAAGCATTCAGCCACAATGTCACAGGTGGGTTTAAGTAGCATCTAACCACCCTGGCAGATGCTTGTTTTACGCCTTTCTAATGCGGGAAAATATCCCAGTTGTGAGTCAACCACCTGTGAATACCAAGACTGGTGTAATACAAAGCTGTTTCCTAACTGTAATTATGAAAGAGCGAGAGCTCTGCAGCAGAAAAACAGGGGCACTATATAAAAAGCCTGGTGAGGACTTCAAATAAAAATAGACTCGACAGTGACAGGAGCTCTCCGCCGCTGCATTCCACAGAACAAAAACAAAACTTCTCTTTCTTCAGTCTGTCTCGCTGCAACCCACTCTGAGAGCGATTTTCTGCCAAGTGTGTCGACACACAGACCAGCCCGCAGATGTCAGGGGTTAGGTACGCGCTATGCACCAGTTCTGTGATATTCACCTCATGGATGCTTTACTTTAAACTCACCTGGTTTGAGACCTGCATCGGCTTTTGGAGGACAATCGCTGTTCATCTCGCGGACGTCCTTCCGCAGCACCGTGTAACTGCAAAACACAGCAACTCTTATTAATTTGTGCACAGAAGTGACGTAGTGTGGACAGTACTGTGTTACTACATCAAGGCTCAGCTCTACTATGGGATTGGAACCAGGAAAGTAGTAAGCCGACCAAAATCTAAGCAGATTTTTGTTTTCCCCAAACAAATCAAGGATGCTAAAAATGTGAAACAGCAAAGAATAGCCACCCTGAAGTCTTGCTCATCAAAACACTGCACTCTTGAGTTCAACAGTAACAACCTCAAAACCTGAGCAGACATGCCTTCTCAGCCTACTTTCTTACAACACCTCTACAGCAGCTGGACACTGTTGGTGTTGGTGATTTGGCAGGTAGATGGATCCGCGGAGCTTGTGAGCTGAAAGCAGTCAGAGACTTGGCGAGTGTGCCAGAGAGACGATTTGCTGTGGTATCTGTAGGCAGCTGAGCTGATCCAATCACTAGATTGGTCATGGAGTGAAGAAAAACAGTATACTGCGGCTAAAAAAATACAGAAACACCTCGGTTTAAGGACATTTCCAGTAGATAACTATACATGTTATTATAATGGCACTGGTTCTCCTACGTACTCTGTATACCAATGTGCAAAGATTGTTCTTCATTGACACTAGTTAAACAGATAAACAAGAATAAGAGCCTACAACCATGCAAGCAGCTCAGTGAGGCTGTACTTAGACACAGTGCTTTGAGAGAAAAGCTAACAGCGTGCTAACAGCAGGTATAATGTATACCGTGTTCATCATCTTAGTTTAGTGTATTAGCATGCTTGCTTTTGGATGTGTCATTCGGTTTAGTTATTTGGTCATAAATCAAAGTAAAGGGACATCACAGAAGTGATTGGAATTTATCCTCTAGAGTTTAAATATAAGCAGCACATTTCATAACAAACATCAAACAACACAAACAACCTAAATAGTTGTCAAGATATTTCACTCGTGTACAACAAATGTCCACCTCATGCAATAGATATATATCCATACACAGTATATTCTCATGACTTACTGATTACTGTCATTATAGATTAATCTTCAGATAATTTTACCAATTGATTGTTTTGTGTGAAAAATGTCAGAGAATTGTGAAAAGGGAAATCACAATTAAAGCCCAAGCTGAAAATAGGCCTAATGAACAGTGCAAAACTGTAATATATTCAATTTACAATGGTATAAAACAGAGGAAAGCAGACAATTATGGCATTTAAAGAGCCATTACAAGCAAATGTTTTTGCATTTTGATTCAAGTGATTAATTGTCAACATTGCTGTTGATTAATTTTCTGTTGATTAACTGACTCATTTTTTCAGCTCTAAATATGACACGGACACCCAGTTTTTGTTCTGTTTAGCTGGTAGCGAGAGTCTCAGTTAAAGACCTTCTCACAGTGATTAAAATGTCTTTTTCTGTGCACATCAATCACACAGACAACTGTGCAAACTGGCCAAACATGAAAAATATAGAAATAGCTGCTGTTTCCATTGTTACTACAGTAACCAGATTTAACTAAATAAGAACAACCACTCCCTAAAAAAACTCCTGTCTCTCCTCTGGATGTGACCTTGCTTTCCCTAAAAAAAAAAAAAAAAAAGAAAAAGAAAAAAAAAAAGAAATGTTTTCCACAAGCCATTGTTTTTGAAAGGCACGTTCAACGGTTATCACGAACAATAACAAACTCTCCAGAGGAAAGTGAACACACTGACCCCGGCACTGCACCGGAGAGAGGTCACATGGCTTATGGATGTGACCCCTCTTCAAAAAACAAATCACACAGGGAGCAGAAAGTTAGAATAACTCTGCAATAATGGACGAAAAGAGGCTGACGAAAAATGATAAAAAGCACAATAACAAACAACGACAAGTGGAGGGTGCGTGTTATAATAGAATGGAAAACTTTAAAACAACATATGCACAAAAAGGGCAAAAGGAAACTACAGACGTGAGGTTATAGACCGTATGAAACTGGTGTCGGTACATGTGAAATATTTAAATGATTATATCTTATATTTTAAATCTTTTTAATCTGGCTTTTACTTTAGTAATGTTAGTAATGTTAATTTTCAGTTTTTGTTTGGTTATTTTTATGAAGTTTTACATTTTATTGTTTTTATTGTATTCATTTTTTTCCTTGCACAATTTTATTCATGGTGGTTCATCCTGGTTTTATGCATTGTTTTAATTTGCTAAGTGAAGCTCTTTCAGGCTGCATGTTTGTATTAAAGGTCCTATAAAGTTGAGTATATATGGTAAACTCTGTTAAAAAGCTTTGTTCTGTTTTAGAAAATGTATTAACTACCTGCAAAACCTGCAATAGATCAAACTAACATAATATAGAAGAGGCATCCCTGGTGGATCAGACTGATGCATCACACATGTGTAACAGAAATGATTTGACACTTTTTTTCATTGTTATTCTACCCACACAAAAGCAAAAGAATCAGAGGAAAACAAACCTGAAAATCTCATTAACAATGATATAGATTTTCCGACTTCTTGCATTATTATTTCTTGCATCCAGCCCTGGATACACTACGCTGATTTCAATGAGTGAAATCAAATTGCTCCAGAACAGAAAGGAAAACTGCTACAGAGCAATACAATTTGTAACAAAAAGCCATCAGAGCACAGACAGGAAATACTTCACAAGTGTATGACTTCCAGTTCTTCTCCGATTTATCATCCCTTATCTTATCCCTCTCATCACCTCTACCCTTCACCTGACTATTAGCCGAAATACAAGCGATAAAAAGGACTTTTCACGCTTCTTTTGCTGCAGATTAAGGGTCATGCTAATGAGTTACACAGGGTATCCATTAAGGAATGCAGATACAACGCTGTTCTGTCATCATTGGAATTCAAACAGACAGAAAACTTGACGTTGGAACAGCGAACAACACCAGATTAATTTATGGGGAGTGTGGGCCGTGTTTTAACCCACATACGGAGAGACTGCAGCAACAAACCACCAGCTGAGTGCAGACTCCTGACAGGACTTATTCCTCTCTTTGCCACAGACAAAACAATCTGGCTGTGTGGTTTTCACGCCGAGGGCAGGCTGCAGGGAAGCTACACTACCTTAGCGCAACAGTAACTTACAGCCTTAGGACAAATAAAATAACAACCCAGCACTGCCAGGGAAGGCACATAGAGTCTGAACTCTTGTTGAGAGATCACAACATCTGAGGTTGTATTCTTCTACAGCTACAAACGATGTATCATTGACATTTTGATTCCTTTTTTTTCAAACTCACACAATTAATTAGTCAAGAGATAGAAATGTCATCTGTCAGACCTCCTTCAAATTGAAAGATAAGACGGAGATTTGTCATGAGTACGAAGTTCAAACCGCATTACAATACATATTTAATGAAAACATATAAAAAAGGAAAGAAAAAGCACAATAAAGTACCAATATTATTTGAAATATTTGCATGTATAAAGCAGAGGATGTGCTTCTTCACTGCACATATATCCCATTAAAAGACTTATTCAAAGACTCCTTATTGGGGCGTTTTACACTAGCACTAGATTAGTTGATTAACAGAGAAAATTAATCAAGAACATTTTAGATAATTTATCAAGTGAAAATGCCAATCATTTGTTTATCACAGCTTTTCAAAAGATTGCTTGGGTTTCACTTAACACAATTAAATATCTCTTAGCTATTTTGCCTTAGTTGAAAACATAATTTATGTATTAATTGACAATGAAAATGTAAATTATTATCTACTGGTAATTAGTGCAGCCCTAGTTGACACGTGGTGCAAAAGTGGTTTTCAGCACATTAGTGATGACTCACAATTTTCCATCCTTGAAAGATCGGACGAAGATGTTGTCCTTCTTCATAGTCACGTCTTCATGGCAGTCTGGAGAGATAACCTTGTTGCACAGAAACAAGAGACAGTCAAGAGGTCAGACAAAGTGGTACCGTGTGTGTGTGAGTGTGTGAGTGTGTGTGTGTGTGTGAGTGAGAGAGGCAGTAAAGTGGAAGAGGGGAGGGGGGTGTCAGAGTACGAGTCAATGACTAAAGTAGTTTCAGCAAAAGGCCACGCTGATGGATTGCAAAATGTGCTGTCTACGAAACTAAGACACACAAGCGAGAGTAGATGAGGAGCGATGCGTGAGGGGAGCGCGCCCACAAGCAGCATGTGCTGCTGCTGTGTACTGGAGTTGAGGAGCACAACTGTGGGAGTTGTTTCAGTGCCAGGGTCTAACCTAGAGGAGGCAGCACTGCCGTTATACAGATTTGATTTCCACCAGGACTCTGTTCCTGCTCTCTCTGTATAAACAGCACACACACTTGCAGGGTGGATGCTTTAACTTGAACACCATGACTCATGTTTGCTCTGAGATACCATTTCCCTTTTTGACACATATGCTGTTCTGCAAATGTGCAAATGAAAGTATCCAGCTCAAACACGGTGTCCTGTTTCATTTGACTTTTATTTTACCAGGCCAGTTCAGAGCACACAGTTTGTTACAGTAATGTATCATCTGTTGCATGAGACATCTACCAGTGTACTGCTCCACCCCTCTGCCATACGGTCACAGTGTAAACAATGACAAGCTACTGTGTAATGTAGTTCTCTGGGCTGTCAGAAGGAGGCGGCATGGAGCTCAGTCGACAGCAAGCCAAGAACAACAAACGCTGGAGGTGGGGCCCTGCTGACTTCACATTTAAAGGGACAGCTTTCCCCACCCTCTCCCGTCCTCCCAGTTCTACTTGTAACACTTACATAAACAAACAACGCCTGTCACCATTGCACTGTACGCGAACGGTGGTTCAGAGTTAAGGGTGGGTGGAAAGAAATTGACTGGAAAAGACTGAAAACATCAAACCAGTGTTTGTGCTGCGTTGTTGCACACAGCAGGGAGAACAAGTCATATCTTTTCCCTCCAAAATAAGAGTTTAGCCTTATGAAATTCTTCAAACTACAGCAGTCAGGCAGCTACTGTAAGAAGTTTGGTTATTTATAGAAATCAGCTAACTGCAACAACATATGCCCTACATTTCATGGTGGGTGAATGCTAACGCAAGCAGGCGTTTAGATGAAATGACACAATGCTGTGAGTGTACTGGGAGACCAGCAGCGTGGTTTGTTCACAGTGACGGAGCAGAGAGCAGTGAAGGAAGGGAGACTATGAGCTCACCAGAGCAGGATACCACGTGGTCTTCTTTTTGTCCCCGGTGGTGACACCCTCCACACACACCACTTTGCCAAACAGATCCTCATTCTGCCGCTGATCGCTCTCCTCTTCTTCACTGGAGGATGAAGACAACTCTTCTTCTTGACTGTGAAAAAGGGAGAAAAAGGACAGTTTACAGACTGAATGTCTGAAAGGTACAGTGAGATGTTTTTGAATACATTATTTTACATTTATTACATCTGGTAAATTCAGTTGAATTTAAAACAGCAAACTAGTACTATGTGAAAACGTAGAGCTGAACAAAGTCTATATTCAATTGCTTAGTAATTTTGTAAGCAAAAGTGACAACCATTCCCTAGTTACAGCTTTTCAGTTGTGAGGATTTGCTGCATTTCTTTGTTTTAATGTGATTTAAAAATCACCTTTGGGCTTCAGTATTAACCAGTTCAACAAGACAAATAACTGCTAGTTGCAGCCTTAGTAAAAATATTTAAAACTTCTCGGTTTCAGAATAATGTATGAAGCCAAGTGACTCATAGTTCATAGTTGGATGGATGGATGTCATTAAAATATATTCTCCAACAACAGGGACAACAAATCTCAGTGTAGCAATGCTGTAGAAAAAAATTCTAAATATTCTGGGTGCTCATAGATACTGGCATTTCACATTAAATCCATGCTATATATGTAAACGGGCTAGGGAAATAAATAGCGTGAGCTGGTCTATCTCAATACAGCCAGGCAGAGCATTTCTGCTAACCAATCATCTTTTCATTTAACTGCTGTTCAGCTAGAAAACATCAAAAAGTCTCAGACTAACAATCCATAGCACAACAAAACCCTCCACAAACTTTCTGGTGTTATCATTATGTAGCACAGCGAAACATAGGGCCCGCTCTACTGATGAGCTCACTCATTAGGATCAGCGTATTGACGAGCCGGCTCATTCTCTGCTGTCTGACAGTCATACTAATGCTCGGGATGAAGCCCTGACTGCAACCAGCATGACAGGCAGCCATGTCTCTTGAGTGATCATGCTAGAAGTACCAGCAGGCAAACAGATCCTCCGTCCTCTTTTTATGCCTCACTAGGTCTGCTCTGAGCACAACTCTATGTACATACATACACACACACACACACACACACACAGAGTCTGGCACAACTCAAGAGCAGTAAATCAGCCAGGCTGCTACTACAACAACAACAACAACAACAACAACAACTACTACGCTGTGAATCAATGAACAAGAGACTGTAATTCATGTAGGAAATAGTTTGCTACACATATAATGAATATTGTAGCTGGGAATTGTTTGCCTTTCTTTTAAGACAGTAAATTGAAGGAAAAGTTTGAAATTAGGGGAAATACGCTTTTTCGCTTTCTTGCAGCAACTTATCTGAGAAGGTAATTACCACTTTCGTGTCTGTGTGCTAAATAGGAAGCTAGAGTCAGCAGCCGGTTAGCTTAGCTTAGCCTAAAGACAGGAAACAAGAGGAAACGGCAAGCCTGACTCTGTCCAAAGGTAACACAATCCTTGTGTAACACTGCACAATGTGGTTCAACTGGTGGTTATCCGCCAGACTATTTCTTAGCCGGGAGCGGTGACCTCCTGGAGTAACTTTCTGCTGGTTCCCTGGAAGGCTCAGAGTGGAACAAAGAAGATACATCCATGGTCAGTGGATTTCTTTACCTTTGGACAGGCTAGCTGTTAACCCTGTTTCCAGTCTTTATACTAAGCTAAGCTAATCACCTCCTGGCTCTAGTTTCATATTAAGCTCATAGAGAGGTATCAATATTCTCATCTAACTCCTAGCAAGAAAGCAAATAAGCGCATGTCCCGAAATGTCAAACTATTCCATTGACAGAAGAGGAAATTACACCGTCTGTGAAAACAAGTGATGTAGCTGAATTTTCCCCCCAGTAATCTCAATCTCTACTGTATTGTCAAACCTTGTAACTCAATATTTAAGACACTATTAGTGCACAGGAAGGTCTAAGGTGCCAATGTGCAGCTGGAACCGTTCCAAGTCAATATTGCATCAATGTTTAGAGTAATATTGACTTTTCCCTCACTGCCATTAGCAAAGGGTGTCAGAAAATGAGATTTGGTAGCAGAGTGTGTCCTCTTTATAACAGAGAGGAGCCACAATTATATCCAGCGCCAAAAAGCCCTCAGCAGTTCCTATTCCCTGATGAAAACTCTGCAGTCTCCCAGGAGAAGGCACATCAGAGCATAAAACACCCACTGAAACATTTGAGACAAAGGAGTGTAAGAAAGACATGATATTCAGCAGACCAATGCCGGTGCTCACACTGCCTCTCCAGCATGCATGCACGCACGCAGAGGAGCCCGGCTTGATTAAGGAGCTGGAGGAGGCGAGCAGGCTCTCCTCTTCCAGGCCTCAGGGGCTCTTTATGAGAGGATGGAGATGAGAGTAAATCTTTCATTTCAACTGCTGTCAGCACCCTCAGAACGGGTGAGCCTGTTGCTGATGACTGTGGATTGGTATAGAAAATCCCTCCCCACCAGCATCACAGACGTGTGATATATTAAGTTTGATACGAGCCCTGTAGGATGTACAGCGGCGGAGGATGTACAGCGGCGGAGGATGATACTTACATTGGATTTGATCGTCGGCCGCGGTTGCCCTTCTTGCCGATGACAGGTGTGCCGAAGTGTTCGGGGTTGGTGAGAGGGAGTCTGTCGAGTGTCTGCAGAGGAGACAAACATCAGCTCAGTGCCACCTTCTCCGACAATAAATGCGGTGACAAAAAGATTCATCTTGTATACTTCTTCAAGGGATTTTAATCAGTTACAAATGGAGGAATTTCCTGGAAATATTTCACATCTGCAAATGCCAATATGGGACCATTCTTGAGCAGAGTTTTAATTTAAACACTGTGAGCAGAGATGTGAGATTGCTGGTGATTAAATAAAACAACATTTAAAAAGAAAATAAAAACTATGAAATGAGGTTTTGCTGAGGAAGCTGAGAGATGAGGCTGGTATAAAACTGCAGGACAGCACAGTACTCGCCTCGCTCTCTGCAAAGTGACGCGCTCCTTTCAGGCAGAGAGAGGAACGCCTCAGGGTCTTCTCGTCGCCATCGTCAAACACTGCAGAGATGAGAGTCAAACTATTAGGCTGCTCTATGTAGGCCAGGAGTCTAACAACACACACACTTAAGCACAAATAAACTCCCGTCTCAGTTACAAAATGTCTGCTTCACTTGTGATATGTAAAAACAACTTATGTTCGTCTTTAGAGGCTTAAATAGATCATCCAGCAGGCAGTGACTGAGTCGCTTTCAGCTCACAGTGTTATTAGAGCTTCAAGGACCCTTTGCTAGACAGAGATTGGAGCAAATGGTAAAATAAAAGAGATGTATTAACTGATTTCAAATCTGACTTTTACAATAAGCATCCATATCAAATAACACTAAATATTATAATCATCTATACAGTATGTAAATCATATTAAAAGAACTCAAGCAATCTTCTTTTCACTTTGAACAGCCACGTCAGCCTCACAGATAAACCCAGATGCATAAATCCTTAAATTCCATTAGTCGTTGTTCATTACTCTTGACTCGTGTTTTTGTTTTCTCACTGATGAATGAAAAGAATGAAATGGTGCCAAGTTAGAGAGTGTTTCGAGATACAGAAAACCCCATGGGCACTCTTAAGTGACGAGCAACTGCAGAGAGACTACAGATCTGAGCAGCAGTCTATACTCTGTATACTTTGGATTATCCAACACTGTAAGTGTGTACTCTTGACAGACTTTGCAGTTACAAATTGCAAGCAAAAAATACATCATTAGTTGCTTCAGACTGGACAATGTTTTGGAATATATTTACATTGCAATATAATGTATGTAAAGTTTAGCCATACAGTGTAAGAAATCACCTAATTCTCTGACTTCTGTTAGGAATCGACTTGTTCTTGCAACAACTTTAAACGCACTGCTTAGGGAAAGGCAAATTCACACCCGGAAAACCCATTGGAATTTCCATAGTACACAAACATGTTTTTTACAAGGTAGCTGCAGGGAGAGCACAAGAGGGAGGGAAAGCAGACGGCTTGTTATTGACTTACCAACAGTATATATACTAGCATCAGTCAACTTATTGATTGTGGCCTCCTGGTAGACGCCATCCTGATTCTTCACCTCCACAACAGCACCCACCTGTGGGACGGACACACTGCTGTTATTTGGCATCCTAATATGCTGCTAATGATAAATCTAATGATGTGTTTTAAAGTAACGAGGCAACCATATTGCTGCTACAAGAAACGTAATTGACTTAAAATTAAATTGCAAAGGCGATGCTTCATTGACTGATTCTCTTGTGCTTTTTCTACATTCACTAAAGTCTTGTAGCCTGAGCAAAAAACAAAGGACACAAAAGTAATCAAGGGTAATCAATGCCTAAGTGTGTTATGACAATGTTCCAAGCTGACTAAAGGACATTCTCCTCCATCTTTTCCTGCCTTACCTTTAGAGGTCCTTTGATGTTTTCATCATGAACCTCAGCAGTGGACAGATCTGGTTTAAAGGTCACCTGGAGAAGGTGGGAGGCAACATGGGAGGACAATCAGTAACGAGGACAAACAAACAATTCCCCAAAGGTCTGACCAGGCCACATCAATCTTCCACTTCACAGAGACAGCAAGCCCCTACTAACGCAGCTGGACTTTATAACTGCCATACACTGATCACAGTGATGGACTCTTTCTTTCAGTATCTGGCAATGAGACCGGTTTGTTGCTTTAAAATCAGCTGAGCTAACATACTAGTAAAGACTTGTCATTGGTGTCATTAGGCAAGCAGCGAATGTGTGAATATTTAATACTATACTGACTCATTTCTGGCATCGCTGAGCGACTGACCCCCACAGTTGGCAACTGCGCTGCATCTGTTGGAGCCAACTGTGGTGGCTTTCTGTTGTGAATGTTAGGGCAACACTACCTGACCATCCCCCCCTTCTCTGCATTTGCAGCCTCCCCTAAGTGAGCCACGGAAGATCATAATCTGATCACGCTGTGGTAATCTTGCATCTGCATGGCAACCTGGCAACACTGAGTGACAGAAGAGACCACAAGACACGCGCACACACACACACACACGCGCATGCACGCACGCACCCATTCACTGTCGCATATTTTCCAGGGAGCACGTGTGAAAAGTGTCGAAGCTGCCAGAAGCACAGAATCTGTTTAGTATTACAAATGCCCCTCCCTGCTTTATATAGCAAAAATACTTGAGCGCTTCCTTCTCTGTTTCCTAAGGGAAATTAATGGAAAACTGGTTTAGCTGTTATTGACTGTGAATTAGTTTAGAATCAACCCCCACCGCCCACCGCCACTCGTCTCAGAAAACAAGGTAACAAATTCACATATAACAGCAGCAGAAACGGCAATCAAAGTCTCACTGTGAAGGCCAATCAAGACAATGAATGAAGAAATATACACTGTAAGATTCAGTTGAATTGTCAGTTCATAAAATTAAAAAAAAAGCTTTCTGAGGCAGCATTTTATCAGTTATGGAGATAATAACATTGTTGCCTGGTGGAATAAAGGAATCTCTCTCCACAGACAGAAGGGGGGCGACTCTGGCTGTCCAAAGCCACAGCTAGAGAGCGTCAACAACACATAACTATCCTGACAACTGTGAGCTTGGTTCCCTGCATGGTGGTTCAACAGCGGTCTGTAACTGTACACACAAACTGTACAACCACTTAGACCTAACAACAAATATTGGATTAAGATATTACAGCATATTTCTGATAAAATACAGCCTTAGTCTAGAAAATGTATGTGATGTGAACAGATATATCGGGAGGTTGCAGCGCATTATATTACTAAATTCTTTCTTCCAATAAGCCTACAATGTTGCTGAGCTGCAGGATGTTTAACTATACTAATTTCCCTTGATACAGCAATGTGAAGTGAACTTTGATTTTGATTTACTCAAGAAAATAATTGGATTGCAGAGGTGTACTCTTTGTCTTTTAGCCATAAACAGCAAAAAAGATCAAACTTAACAGCACCAGCTGATTCACTCAATTTCCTCCGGACCATCTCTCCTCTCTCTCTCCTGTCTCTTCACATTAATAAACCTTCTGCTGTTCTGATTTTACAAGTTGCCCGTTTGATTGTTATTTTAATGGACAATTTAACATTTGGCCAAGGAACACCAGTTGAATATTTGGCCAACAGTGGCACATTTACAGTGATGCTGATCAATGTGCCTCGTCTCAGAATACGTACATGTTTCTACTCTAATTAAAACACTTCTCCGGCGTATGCACCATCGCAATTTGAGTCCTTGTAAATCTGCATCTCTTCACCTCCGTACATGCCTTTCTATTGACTTTGTTTGCATTAACACTGCCTCTAATTAGTGTTTTGTGCCACAGCTAAATGCAATTAACGTAACCTCATGCAGCAGAGCCGTCAGAAACTGACAGATACATTTTAAGACGTAATGTCAGTTTGCGATTAGGTTACATGGGTTCAATTCATATGAGTACGCTGTTTTTTGACTAGATTTTTTGAAAAGCAACAGCTTTCTCTCAGAGTAAGCTAGCTCCCAAAGTACCCTGAAACATCAATGAGTGGCAATCTGCTCCCCACAAACACTACAAACAGGACAAGCTTAAACATTTCCTCTTTATCATAATCAGGAAATATGTTTTTTATAATCAAGCAGAGACCTGATTTTGAAAAAAGTAAATACATTTTTTCTTTGAGAGAGACTTTTATTTGCATTCTGTTGTGAAATCTTGAGAAATTAACTATAAACACGCAGCACGTGGAACCCATTACGCAGCATTTGGACACAGAACTTGTTACTGTGCCATAAGGTTAGTCGTGACTGATCATATGTGTGCTGAACATGTCACAGTGAGTGATACTGACATGGTGCTAATTGACTTTTTGCAGGTCTTCTAGTACAGATCGTCAAAATAAATAAGAATGTCACACCGATCTTTCCTTGGGTTTTAAAAATCACTCACAAGACACCAGCGCCATATGTTGCAACCATCGACTTTGTTAAACAAGCAGACAGAGATTAATGAACCAAAGAGCTAAAGAGGAATTCATTACAGAGGAATATTCAGACTCACAACAACCACCGAATAATTGCCATGTTTCAACGTTTGTGTAACAGAGCTCACATTCACATTATAGCAACCCAAAAACAAACCCCACACTCAGCCAATTAGAATGGTAATTAATTTATGAGCTGAGACCGTCCTATTAGCTTCATTTTAGTCCACAATATTTAAACTGAGAACGTCACATGGTCTACTTAGTCATGTTATTTGTCCCCGTTCATAAGACAAAAAGGCACGTCATTTGATGATTTGTGCTAGAATGGCAGAACGTCGCTGCTCTTTTGTCTCTACAGGGGAACTACAGTGCATTGACACAGTAAAAAAAAAAAAACCCAGCATCCAATCTTTGTTCCTCCCACACACTCTCGCAGAACGAGAGACAAGCGATCTGTCTCTATTGTATTATCCAGATGCTCCAGCCCCACTGGGAAATGAGATACTGTAGTACAAGCATCATGCAATGCCTTCATCAGCAAGGCATTAAACCAACGGGGAAATGGCAGTCGCACCGTTCCCCGCCACAAAAACGTGTGCAAACCGCGGGCGAGAGAGATGCCTGAGGACGTGATGGGTACCTGGTGGGCTAGGCCAGACCCTGCATCTGTCACAGCTGGGGCCCCTGATCAGCGTTTCAACTGTATGAGCAGTACTAACAACCTCAACCAGGTGGTAGAGCTCTAGCATGTAAGCAGCACAGCTGGAGTTTTTTGGCAACATCAGAAACAAGCAATAATTTAAATGCACATTCCTCAGAATCAATATAATCGTCCCAACAACAAGGGATGTTTTTGGACAATGTCTTTTTAAATCTTCAATCTAGCTGCTGGACGTACATTAAAGCCGAGCGGTGAGTGATCTCGATTGCAGCCCGTTCACACAAAGACAAGAGACCCTAGCCCTGCTGCATTCCACTTCACACGCAGACACAGACAGACAATACATTTTTAATTTTGGATCATGAGCACTTTTGAAATGTGACTTACCTTGGCCTTGACTAGCCTCTTGGCAGTCTTAATCTTGGCCTCACAGAAAGCCCCTCTGTACTTGGCACTCACATCCGTCCCTACTGTCAAGTAGGGGGGCTCCTCCAGAGTCTGAGGGGAAAAAACAAAACAAGAAACCCGTGAATTCAAAGCCTTTTTTATATATATAGCTCACTGACACAGGTGTATTCTCACAGCTAAGCCAGGAGGACACGCATACAAGCTTCACATAGTCTAGGCCAGCTATGTGAAAACCCACCCGGCTCAGTGATTCATCCATGGAAAACACATACCATCTGCTCTGGGTATTGGAAAACAAGCCTCTGAGGGAGCAAACAAAAAGGCCACTTCACTACTGCTTTGATGACTACAAAGAAGAAGCTATCCGAAACACATAGCACCATCTTGTGTCATCATTGGATGTTTATCAAACCTTTTTTTTTCCCCCCTCAAGAACAGATTTGCGGAGGGTAGAGTACACAGAGAAAACAGACTTTCTGTGTGTGGATGAGGGCAGATCAGATGGTGTTTGTGGTTCGTGTAGTGTAAGAGATGAATTTACTGAGGGTGTTTCACTAAGGCTCGGGGAAAAGGCCTAACCTAACAGTAGTATATTTAGACATCTTTCCAGAATAAGACCCAAAGTGGGCCACACTTCCTGCTGACAGGACACATCAAGACCAATTGCAGCATGTCATATATGCTCTTGAACAACACTTCTGACAGCAGGTTCGGACTCAAGTGCAAAACAACGAATGTACCTTTTTTTGGCAGTACTTTGAACAAGAAAACACACCTTCTTCTTTTATGAATAAAGTATACTAATACTTCGACTGAACAAGCTCCCTACCACCACAGAAACATGATTCACTTAGCAAAATACATTTCTCCAACCCAGTTATGCATATTAAATTCCATACTACAAGTTATTTATGTGTAAGGCTCAACTCCAATTTCTTTCCTTTCATCTTTGTTTTCTTACACAATTTAATACAAATCAAATACATAAATCTAAGGGTCTGTGACTAAGATCACAACAGCTGTTCATTGTTACCACCGGGAGGGCAACTAGGGTACAGGTTGCCATTCCAACTAAAAACTACGGCACTAGTGTAGGATCTAATCACTGAAACCAGCTGCTGCAGTCCTCTGTGGCACATACTTTTGTTTAAATGTTTAAAGTCCACATCTGTGAGTTAGAGACCTTTAATGTCTGTTAACTGTTTGCAGGTTGACATTTCTTTAGGAATTTTGTGGTAACTGGTTTTTATCAAATTATAAATCCTGATACAAGACAGATCCTTTGTTTTGGGCTCACCGGGCGTTAAAAATTACCTACAGCCTTCGTGTGAGCACTTGAACCTGTTCCACCAAAACCCTTGAGTACCATGACACGTTTTATAGAGGACTTCCACATTGACAGACTGCTTTAGCAGAAGTGAGCACAGCAGCTTTGGGGGAGAAAAAACAAAGAAAAACAGCTGCTGTGCCTCTATTTCAGCAACGTTGTGCAGGTGCACCACATCTCTTCTAGCATGGGTTGAATACTGCCTTTGAACTTGTGTATTTTGTTCAATCAAGAGTCAGAAGCTGCACAAATGCTGCTCATACACATGAAATCGGAGTAACAGGTAAAACAGCAATATGATTTGAAAAATCCACTGAAATGAACGTGAGTTTTAATATCCCTTATTAATCTATTTGTGACCTGAGGCTAAATTCTTCATTATCTTATCTGGCAGACAGCTAAAACATGTCTGGACTTGTGGACCACACACTGATTTATGAGATATTAACTGAAGATTATCAGTAGACTGGTTACCTGACTAGAGAACACCCCCTTTGCATTCAAACATGGTGTGACATTAACGTGACATTAACGTGACATTATCATGCAGAACAACCTGACTGATATCAAAAGGATAGAAAAAGATAGAGTACTTATAATAAAATGAGTGGCTTGCCAACTGTAATGAAAAATAATTATTTCAGCTTAGAAGTAGTCTTTTAAAAATTACACTAGGTTTTTTTTAATCTTGTGCTATTAAGAGTCTTTGTACACAAAACTCTTACTGAAGGAGGTTTTCAATGAACTGAGGTTAAAAATAGTGCTAATGCATGTCTAGGATGCAAACGTGCAATTGAAGGACAAACACATTTTTTAGAAATTGCAAAAATAATAATTCCTAATAAATGATAATATGTGGTGTCACATCATCAGGTCACGTTCAGTATTTGTTATTTTAAGACAGAAAGGCAGCCAGAGAGTCTGAAATGCTACCCAGTACCCCTCAATTCACAGCCAGAGATTACAATACTCACTCACTCTGGAAAAACTCTTAGCTGAAAACACCAGCAGTCTTTTTAGTAGAAAATGCCAACTGGTCCACTAATTATCCCAATTCTCCGTCCCGCGGCTCACCAGTGTTTCGGTTTAATGAGTGACCTTGTTAACTGGCAACTTTCAGCCAAATGTTAACTAACTGGTGACTTCATTCAGCGGAAAGTCGCCAGTTAACAGGGTCACAAACCCAGGAGGCAGGATGCAGGTGATTAGTACAAGCAGGTACTGAAATTAAACATTATCCTGTTGTACCCCTCACAAAGTAATTTGCAAAAATAACAAAAATGGCAGTAATGCTTCGTACCGCGCTGTTGAGCCACTCTAAATCACAGCAGGGGAAATTCCTTCACCGCAACAGCCCTGAATAATAAATCAAACACCATCAATCATCCATCAAAAACTAACTGAAACTGCCTGCAAATAGAAAGAAAATGACAGAAACACGTTAGCTAACAGATGGACAAATTACATCATCTGTGTTAAGAGGGCCATGAGCCTGTCACAGTCAAGCCAGGACAAGTTGCCTCTTCTCCAATGTCTCTGGGATTCTGACAGATGGGATTCAGGGGCAGAGTCCAGTGCACTTCAGCCTCCCCACCTCTCCGATAAACACCTCATTAGTCTTTAGTGCAGTCTGGCCTCAGCACCAGCTGCCCTTGCCAACACCAGGTTTATATGACGCAGAGGCCATTTCCACTAGCTAACCAACCCTTTTGTCAGTCGTGGCTGCAACACAAAGCTGGACTGCTACTGTGTGCTGTTCAAGCTTCTCTGTCATACTAATACTTGTCTCCTTTTGCTCCCTTTGCACTAAGCCTGCTCCTTTCTTCTTCTTAGAGGAAGAGTCAGACTACTGAGTCAGAGAGGGCAGCTTGACAGCTGTGGCTGCCAACTTAACAAGGCAGGGGTGATAAACAGACTACTGAGGGCAGATCTACATTTGTCATGCTCACATGCCAAAAAAATAAATAGAGGACAGTTTGTTGTTTCCACTAATAATGCCCCGCCCCCCTGCTTCCAGTTAAAACTATGAAAGAAAATTCCATTCCTTGGATAAGATTGCCGTTTAGCCTTCAGCTGTCTGGAGAAAAAAAAACACTGACTCCTTTTCTTTAATTTCATCGCTCCTGCCAGTGCTGAACGGCAGACAACATTTCCCCCGCTCAGAAGATCAACCAATCAAGATGACTAAGCTCAGAGAGGCGGAATTCCTGCGCCTTCAGGAGGTGTAACATCCTCTCACCAAGTTAAAATGAGCTAAAACGCTACACACCACACAAGAGCCGCTCTCATCTGAGATGCTTTCATAAAAAAAAAAAAAAAAGAGTAGTATTTATCATGAGCCTCAAGCGCCACTTCAGCTTCTGCATGCAAAAAGTCAACGTAATGGTAATAGCAGTGGGTACAATCAAGAACAGCTCTCTGGCTATTCACCTAGAGCCGCTGATGTGGAAAATACTCTCCAGGAACGTGTGCTTGATTAAACAACTACAAATGTGACTTGGCACGGAGCGACAGAACGCACCTGTGGCTGGGATGGAAAGAAACAAACCTAAACTGCTCGAAAAACTACTGTAGTTTGACTTTACTTAAAGAGGTACTCTGCACTTAAACATGTTTGTCGAGCTGTAAATTAAATAATATAATATGAGGTAATGAGTCTATCAGTGCTGGTGTTAATATTGACATTCTCGTTTATGAAAAATTCATATTGAAAGTGTCTCAGTACAGCATCTACAGTTTTAAATCATCCTTAACCTTCTGAGGCCAATGCTGACATAAAGTCGACCTTTTGGGGCGATTTTACGTCGTGACATTTATATTATATATATATATATATATAAAAAGGCTATTAACACTGAATGGAGGGTGGCCCACCTCCTGTAGGAGTCTGTAAGACAGCTGCACTCATTTTCAGATGTATACTGATTGAGGAGTTTGTGCTAGTTTTTGCTAGCCCGCTATTTAGTATTTTTCTATTTAGATGCAATGATACAGACTTTGTGTTTTAGATGACTATAAAAGCACCATAGTGGGCTATTGGACAACATATCTGCTGTTTTTTAAGCACATTTTTGTCATTTTGTTTTGCTAATTTAATGGTCTGCCTCCGCTCAGCGCATTACAGACGCTGAGCCAAAGAACGAGTGAGAGGAAAAACAGCTGTAGAGCCAGTGTATTTTCACATCCAGCTGCAGTGAATTAAGAAATACAGTTACAAGGAGGCACGCACGCATGGGCGAATATATCAGCAATGGCAGACTGTTGGACTGACGGTGGGAAGATTTCAAACATGTCGCCCAACCCTACACCGCTCTGCAATCTCTACCTTGATCCCACGCAGTGACATGCCCCCCCACAGACACCCACACACACACACACTTAAGAGAGTTAGTCTCTCTGAGCCATTAGCTTAGCTACGACACAGCCGACATGTATTTTTTTTAATTTGCTGAGAAGGAGCGAGCTGGCAGAATTGAGTGTGTGTAGTTAAACTTAAAATACCACTCACAACTAGGAAAGGCATTTACAGGTAGTAATTATCAGGATGATCTACCCGGATTATTTTCAGACAAGCACAGATATCACATTGGATAACAACTTAAATTTATTCCTCCCATAAAAGCTTTTTTCAGTCCACAAAGGAACCATCTAAAACAAATCCTAGAGGTGATGGTGCACCAGTGTTACTGGTCATAAATTACTTCTGTCCTGGCTGTTGAATCACACAGATATTTAAACACCTAGCACCTCACTGATTACGAGT